AACCGTGAAGCATGGAGGTGGAAACATCATTCTTTGGGGATGCTTTTCTGCAAAGGGGACAGGACGACTGCACCGTATTGAGGGGAGGATGGATGGGGCCATGTATCGCGAGATCTTGGCCAACAACCTCCTTCCCTCAGTAAGAGCATTGAAGATGGGTCGTGGCTGGGTCTTCCAGCATGACAACGACCCGAAACACACAGCCAGGGCAACTAAGGAGTGGCTCCGTAAGAAGCATCTCAAGGTCCTGGAGTGGCCTAGCCAGTCTCCAGACCTGAACCCAATAGAAAATCTTTGGAGGGAGCTGAAAGTCCGTATTGCCCAGCGACAGCCCCAAAACCTGAAGGATCTGGAGAAGGTCTGTATGGAGGAGTGGGCCAAAATCCCTGCTGCAATGTGTGCAAACCTGGTCAAGACCTACAGGAAACGTATGATCTCTGTAATTGCAAACAAAGGTTTCTGTACCAAATATTAAGTTCTGCTTTTCTGATGTATCAAATACTTATGTCATGCAATAAAATGCAAATTAATTACTTAAAAATCATACAATGTGATTTTCTGGATTTTTGTTTTAGATTCCGTCTCTCACAGTTGAAGTGTACCTATGATAAAAATGACAGACCTCTACATGCTTTGTAAGTAGGAAAACCTGAAAAATCGGCAGTGTATCAAATACTTGTTCTCCCCACTGTGTGTGTGTGTGTATATATATATATATATATATATATATATATATATATATATATATATATATATATATATATATATATATTTATTTGCGAGAGACAAAAACATATGGGAGATTGGAAGTGATGCAGACAATTACATTGATGGAAGTTACAATCTATCTGCAATATTAAAGCTGATCTGCCCCCTAAAAAAACAAACAAAAAAAACCATCTCACAGCAAGAACTGGCAAATCTAGTGCAGTCCATGAGGAGGAGATGCACTGGAGTACTTAATGCAGCTTGTGGCCACACCAGATACGGACTGATACTTTTGATTTTGACCCCCCCTTTGTTCAGGGACACATTATTCCATTTCTGTTAGTCACATGTCTGTGGAACTTGTTCAGTTTATGTCTCAGTTGTTGAGTCTTGTTATGTTCATACAAATATTTACACATGTTAAGTTTGCTGAAAATAAACGCAGTTGACAGTAAGAGGACGTTTCTTTTTTTGCTGAGTTTATATATTTAGTCTCTCTGTGTTTTCATAATTTTCCGTCAATTCGCAAGTGACTGAATCTCACAAGAGATATCATCAGAGCGAGGGAAACAGCGCCCCTCTGTCTCAGTATGTGTAGCCCATGTATCTGATGCTCTCTGGGCCAAAAGAGTATAACATGTTGCTGCAGTAGCATTTCATTGATTGATGCCAGCAAGCATTTGGCCTCCCTTGATAATCTTTTAAAATAAAATAATTAGCCAATCAGCGTTGAGCTGAGCTCAACTGAGGGTTGTCCTGGTGCAGCAAAACGCCCCCCAAGGGAGGCCAGTTTGGATTTGGCTTCAGACCAATCTAATCATTCTGTTTCTGGTCTACTTGTGTTGATGTCCTGCAGTAGTTAGCTTGCTAAATCGGCCCTTTCCTGAGCCATGTATGGAGATGGGGATTTGGACTTCTCTGTACAGGCCAATGATTATGACGGCGATTCTGATCTAACCATAAATGTATATGTTGTGCCACTGGCCTGAGAACATTGAAGTTCAGTTTGTAGCCTAGATGTAGCCTAGTATGCTCACGTTAACTAGCTAGCTAGCTAGCTAATTTAGCTGGTTCATTGTTGCCCAATGCGAGGAACTTTGGCTAGCAAGCATTTTAGCTAGGTAGCCTATGACAACAAAAACTAAAAGTGTACTGAATGACAGAGCCATAGAACGTTTTGCCAACATGAAAGAGAGGAGGATGGCATTGGCGTTCAACTAGTTTACACGTAGGGTGGGTTAAAAAAAACACACACACACAGAAATTAGTACCATGGACAGCCACATTATATTTAGCAACATTGATTGGAATAAATTGTTTTTGGTATCTTTAAGTTTGTTTTCAGTGTATTAAACTAAGCATATATAGCCTTGTTGAGGAACAATACAGCTGCTGCTATTCATTCATTCATTTGTTTGTCAATTGTCATTTTATGTTTTGAAGTATTTGATGACCTGAAATACTACAGTTATTTTTAGGTACACAAAAACATTATTTGCAGGGATTGAAATTGTTTTTATATGTTTTCAACATAAAGAAAACCAATAGACTAGTCATTTATTTGTTTAAGAAAAATAGTAATGGATAGCAACACCCAAAAAGGTAGTCTACACTGTAACTTGGTATAATATTTTCAATAAATCATGCATTTTTCACCATGTATGCTTATGGTCAAGATTTGATTTGGGGAGGTTGATCCTGTACCTTGGCTTGGAGAGCGGATTACAAGGGGCTAAAACAAAAGCAACATTATGTCATGTGACAGCCAATAATGGCCTCTTCCAATTTGGCTTCAGCAACAGAAAAGCCTCTCTCACGTGACCCGCTCTGAAACAGGAAGAGGATCTTCATACACGGAAATCTAAACAATAGGACAATTAGCTCATTTGCGAAGTAAACATTTTTAGTTTTTAGTTTAGTGGAACTCAAAGACACGCGGACATGGATGGTAAGTCGTTTTCGAATTTTGATATGACGAGATTGTCATCTTAATTTGATCTATGTCGCGCTAGCTAGCCGACATAAGCTAGCACAAAGCTTGGCAGCCAGTTGGTGAGCTAAATCACGTTTTCAAGTTTTAATACCACATGCACAAGTACAGTGAAATGCCTTTAATAAATGTTATGAGTTTTTACCAAATATACATGTTTTTAATAGATAGCTAAGTAAGATACCCACTGTTTGGAGTTACATGTAGTCCCCTGTAGCTCAGTTGGTAGAGTATGGCGCTTGCAACGCCAGGGTTGTGGGTTCGTTTCCCACGGGGGGCCAATATGAAAATGAATGCATTCACTAACTGTAAGTCGCTCTGGATAAGAGCGTCTGCTAAATGACTAAAATGTAAATGTAAACATGATTGGCTCGACTGAGTGAAACGAGAAGAGGTGGAACTCATAGGATAGCATGCAGCCTGTTTGGGGGAACTGCCAAATGGGAGAACCTCGTAAATGACGTCCTTTGAGAAAGCAAGAAACAGATGTATGTCAGGAGAAGTGCAGTATTATCATACGTATACTTGGATGACGGAAGAGGAATGGAGGGAAAAAGAGAGGCAGAGGAGGTCTAAGAGAGAGAGGGAGGAAGACTGTGAGCTTGAGTCGGTAAAAAAGGGAGAAGGTTTGTTAAAGAAGAATGGTAGGAAATGTAAGCAAAGTGAGGTGAAGACAGGAGGAGAAATGGAAGTGAATGAGGGTGAAGTACTCAGAGTCCGAGGCTTGCACAGAGGGTCAGGATAAAGATGAGTCTGTGACAGTAGGAGTGAAGTTTTTGGAAAAAGTGGACCCTTGCCTTTTGGCTGATCCATTTGGGGTTTCAGCATGGGTGAAAAAAGCGTTGGGTATAATGGAATCGGTGAGGGTAACCAGAAGTGGTCTAGTAATAATTGTTTGTGTTTCTGTTGGTCAGAGGGAGAAGGCGCTCAGAGTTAAACAAATGGGGGAAGAATTGTGAATTGTGCCATTGAAAGGAGTGATTACTGGGGTAGCAGTAAATGTAAAAATTGACCAGCTGAAGGGGAAGATTCCCGGTGTTTGTGATCCTTGTCGTTTGGTGCGACGCAAACAGGGTGGCGAGAGTGGGGAAACAAGAGTCATTGTCTGTTCTTTTGAGTTTTGAAGTTGAGTCTTTGCCTGACAAAGTGAAGTTGGGATATATAAGTTATCCTGTACGAGCTTATGTGCCGAATACATTACGATGTTACAGGTGTCAAACTTATGGGCATGTGGCAGCAGTGTGTAGGAGGGAGGTTCCAAGGTGTGAAAAGTGTGCAGAAGGGCATGAGACAAAGGAATGTGTAGCATTGGGGAAAGTAGTGGTGTGCTAATTGTAGGGGTTCCCATGGGGCTGGGATCAGAAATGTCCCGGGCGAGAGAGGCAGGTTGAGGTTTCAAGGGTAAGAGTAGTGAAGAAGTTGTCATATGCTGAGGCAGTGAAGAAAGTAGAGGAAGATGGGTCAAGGGGGAGGAGTAGTAGATATGTACCAGTACAGAGGGATAGGCCAACAAGTGATATATGTTTCAGTTAGATTGGATTTTTTGCATTTATAGCAATGGTTATTAATTGTACTGCAGGGATGGAATGTAAGTCGAACAAAATTGAGGTTGTGGTGGCAGCTGCAGAGAGGTATTTGGGTGTGCGAGACTTGACATCAGAAGAGTTACAGGGAGTGTTAAGTGGTGATGTCCCATCATTTCAGGTTGAGGGCATGAGGTAGGAATGAATATATTTAAATAGTGGAGTAGGGTGGTGTTAATTATTAATAATATTTTTGAATTTGTGAGTGTAGTGTTAGATGGTAGGGTATTTCTTTATTTTATTTTTGAAGCAAATATAAGGGTGTTGTACTCCAGTCTAGTAGGTGACTGTAATGCAACAAATTGGATCCCAACCACCGTTAAACCTCATTGAAGAAAAAGAAGATACCCACTGCCATGTCAGATGTCACCAGAAACTAAGACTAGTTCAAAGGAGGAAGGTTCAGACGAGTAACGTTACATGGCTGATTTTGCTACACTGTCTGGAAGCCTAGATAGCTATCTAACGTTAACTAGTTAATTAGCTACTTCCCACTTTCATTAATTTCACACGTTATCGCAATGGGAGTACAGTAGAGTTTAGAATTATCAGAAAGCATTGATACCTTACACAATTCTATGATTTAGACCCAGAGATCACTACCCTCAAGCTGTCATATTGTCATTGCACAATGTTAGTGCAAAGTATAACAGGCCCAATGCACTGGGCTGTGTCTGTGTCACCCCTCCCATCCCATTTTTTCTTTATTTCTTTCAGACACACTCTTCCAACTGAAGGTATGTAAGAAATTATGCATTATCTTTGTGGAGTTTAAACACATCAATCTTTTTTTTTTTTCACATCTCAAATGTCTGCTTATACTTTTCTCTTTTACAGTTTACAGCAAAACAGCTTGAGAAACTTGCCAAAAAGGCAGAGAAGGATTCAAACTCTGAGCAAGCCAAAGTTAAAAAGGTCAGTAAAGAATGTGCTTTCTGGGACACAAATGTAGGCTAGTAAACACTTGTGTGCAGTAAGGAGAACATATTTTGAAGTGTGAAGATACTGCCTGAACAGATTTTTGTTTTTTTCTGCAAAACGTATTGCTATATGGTGTACACTTCTCTACAGAACACAACCCCGGTTCTGGGTTTTAGTGTTGAATGGCGGGAACCGTGTTGCCGAGATTTACCGCCCAAAACCACTCCCTTTTCCCGGGATAAATAACTGCGAGAAACCAGTAAATTATAATAAATTATTTATATGAACAGCATGGCGTGAAATGGAACTGTTAAATTATATGCAATGTCTAAATCTGGCTTTTCTACTGCCTCTTCATGATGAATCATCAACGCTCAGGGTGGGGACAGACAGCCCATCTCAGTATGGAGCGCAGTTCACAATGCATGTAGACCTATCATCTCATCATGGTAACTTTTTTTCTTGTGACAGGTAGGCCTGCATTTGCTGCAGCATAGTCTGTGCTACAGTAATTAAGACCAAATTAGCGTCTAATTTACCCATCTCCACCTGGCGTTTGGGGGTCACCGTCTTTTTTAATTGTAAAGAGTATTTTAAAATTGTAGCTGCAGAGTTTTAAACAGCCTATCACTTTAATCATGTTGCTTTAAATCTGTGCACGCACGAGCACTCTCTTGCAGTCTTTCTCTATCTCCATCAACTCCAATCAAATTGCATCCAAAATAGATAATCCTGTCTAGATTAATATATAGCCCTATATATAGATGTCTTAGCCTACCTCTTTCAGGTAATACATTCAATGCAGTATTAGCCTTATATTTGGCTAATTCATGATGGGATATGCATAATAAGCTTCTAACTTATAGCCTGTGCAATATGCACGCACATGTGCTCCGCTGGCCTCTCTCCCTAAAAAAACGTTCCTCAGCTCTTGGAGTCCCATGCAGGAAAAGCTAGACAAGAATAGCTTGCTGGACATAATTTTTTTTTAGCATTTCTTCTACAAATAGACTATTCGAAGACTACTGCAAGCTCTTGTTTGCTGAATGTTAAATACAGCAGCCAATAGCACTCACAGGTAGTTTGAAAGAAGAGCGAACGCGTGATGGTGGTAGGCTATAGCAGTTATTTATTCCGACCCATAACCATTCAATCTTCGTGAAGAGAAGTGAAAGCCTTTTGCATCTAATTCTTATGTTATTCAAGGATGTCATTAGAATGCTGAAAATAAGGACAATAAAACGTATTTAACTGTTGAAAGCGAGGAAGGACTGAATGAAGCAACAATAGAGAGAGAAAGAGGAGGTAGGCTAATAACAGAGGAAATATTATGAAAGGTATATATGCATCAGCCACTAGTTATACAAATAGAGCCTATTATATTTAAAAATTACAATAAAATGTCTAGCCTATACTTGTAACTTTGTAGGCCGCATCGGCTGCACCAGAATCGCATGTTCTCTTCCTACTTTATCCTTGTTTGAACGATGTGCGTAATTCCAGTCCATATAAAACCATATAGTACAGTAATACAGTTCACACTGTATTAGCCTACTGGAGCTAGTTTCAGTTATTTGCCCAAGAGAACATATACAGTGCATTCGGAAAGTATTCAGACCCCTTGATTTTTTTCATCATTTTGTTATGTTACAGGCTTATTCAAAAATTGATTGAACACAATACCCCATAATGACAAAGCAAATAAAGGTTTTTAGACAATGTTGCTAATTTATAAAAAATAAAAAACTGAAATATTACATTTACATAAGTATTCAGACCCTTTACACAGTACTTTGTTGAAGCACCTTTGGCAGCAATTACAGCCTTGAGTCGTCTTGCCGTTCTTGGGTATGACGCTGCAAGCTTGGTACACCTGTATTTGGGGAGTTTCTCCCGTTCCTTTCTGCAGATCCTCTCAAGCTCTGTCAGGTTTGATGGGGAGCGTTGCTGCACAGCTATTTTCAGGTCTCCAGAGATGTTTGATCGGGTTCAAGTCCGGGCTATGGCTGGGCCACTCAAGGACATTCAGACTTGTCCCGAAGCCACTCCTGCATTGTCTTAGCTGTGTGCTTAGGGTCGTTGTCCTGTTGGAAGGTGAACCTTCGCCCCAGTCTGTCCTGAGTGCTCTGGAGTAGGTTTTTATCAAGGATCTCTCTCTACTTTGCTCCGTTCATCTTTGCCTTGATCCTGACAAGTCTCCCAGTCCCTGCTGCTGAAAAACATCCCCACAGCATGATGCTGCCACCACCATGCTTCACCGTAGGGATGGTACCAGGTTTCCTCCAGATGTGACGCTTGGCATTCAGGCCAAAGAGTTCAATATTAGTTTCATCAGACCAGAGAATCTTGTTTCTCATGGTCTGAGAGTCCTTTAGGTGCCTTTTGGCACACTCCAAGCGGGCTGTCTTGTGCCTTTTACTGAGGAGTGGCTTCCGTCTCTACCATAAAGGCATGATTGGTGGAGTGCTACAGAGATGGTTGTCTTTCTGGGAGGTTCTGCCATCTCCACGGAGGAACTCTAGAGCTCTGTCAGAGTGAACGTCGGGTTCTTGGTCACCTCCCTGACCAAGGCCCTTCTCCCCTGATTACTCCGTTTGGCCGGGCGGCCAGCTCTAGAATGATGGAGGCCACTGTGTTCTTGGGAACCTTCAATGCTACAGAATTTTTTTGCCACCCTTCCCCAGATCTGTGCCTCGACACAATCCTGTCTCGGAGCTCTACGGACAATTCCTTCGACCTCATAGCTTGGTTTTTGCTCTGACATGCACTGTCAACTGTGGGACCTTATATAGACATGTGTCTGCTTTTCCAAATCATGTCCAATCATATTGAATTTACCACAGGTGGACTCCAATCAAGTTGTAGAGACATTTCAAAAATTATCAATTAAACAGGATGCACCTGAGCTCAATTTCGAGTCTCATAGCAAAGGGTCTGAATACTTATGTAAATAAGGTATTTCTGTTTTTTATTTTTTTATATATACATCTGCAAACATTTCTAAAAAACAGTTTTTGCTTTGTCATTGTGGGTTATTGTGTGTAGATTGATGAGGGAAAATAATATTTCATCCATTTCAGAATAAGGCTGTAATGTAACAATGTGGAAAAAGTCAAGGGGTCTAAATACTTTCAGAAGGCACTGTGGAGAGCTACATTTATGGGCTTTTATGTTTTTCTGTTGTGCGTAATGTGCAGTAGCCTATATCATATAGGCCTATGTATTGATAACGGCACAATCATTTTGGCTTTTTTTGGCTTGGGGTCATTAAATGTATTTTTTAATGTAGGGCTCATAAAATGTATTTAATGTATGGCTCATCAGGCTCAGGTAGCATCAGGCTTGAATTTTCGATCAAAGTTCTAGTCAAATCCAGACATAGTCCTATTTATATGCATTATAATGGAACATTTGTAAAATACCAGGAAAGTATTCAACTCTAATGGGTAGACAGGGTATGGCTGTTTAGCTAGTGAGTGTATTGTTCATACTTGTACTCAAACGACTAGGCAGGATCAGCGCTCAGTAAACCCCATAGCGTATAAACAACAATGTGAGAATATTTATACAATTTGTGTAATTAAATACACTACACTGCTCGTCAAACATCTAATTCCAAAATCATGGACATTCATTTGGAGTTGGTCCCCCCTTTGCTGTTACTGTATAACAGCCTTCCCTCTTCTGGGAAGGCTTTCCACTAGATGTTGGAACATTGCTGCAGAACTAAGGAGCCTGAACCATGAAAAACAGCCCCAGACCATTATTCCTCCTCCACCAAACTTTAGAGTTGGCACTTTGCATTCGGGCAGGTAGCGTTCTCCTGACATCCATCAAACTCAGATTTGTCCGGACTGCCACATGGTGAAGCGTGATTTATCACTCCAGAGAATGCGTTTCCACTGCTAGACGTTGCCACTTCACAATAACAGCACTGACAGTTGACTGGGGCAGCTCTAGCAGGGCAGAAATTTTACGAACTGACTTGTTGGAAAGGTGGCATCCTATGATGGTGCCACATTGAAAGTCACTGAGCTCTTCAGTAAGGCCATTCTACTGCCAATGTTTGTCTATGGAGATTGCATGGCGGTGTGCTCAATTTTATACACCTGTCAGTAACGAGTGTGGCTGAAATAGCCGAATACACTAATTTGAAGGGGTGTCCACATACTTTTGGTGATGTAGTGTAGCTCATGTTAACGTAATAATTATTAGGCATCGTGTTCAGTTGGCGTGGTCCTCTGTAGCTCAGCTGGTAGAGCACGGCGCTTGTAACGCCAAGGTAGCTCAGCTGGTAGAGCACGGCGCTTGTAACGCCAAGGTAGTGGTTTCGATCCCCGGGACCACCCATACACAAAAATGTATGCACGCACGACTGTAAGTCGCTTTGGATAAAAGCGTCTGCTAAATGGCATATTATTTTATATTATTTATAAAGAGGTGTGCTACACATTAACCAGCAGGTGGCAGTGGATGATCATGGTTGAGGCTGCACCGGTCCATTACTGACCAAAGGATTTACACCGACGACCAGGGGCCATATGTGTCAAACCTCTCAGTGTAGGAGTGCTGATTTAGGATCAGTTTTGCCTTTTAGATCGCAATTAATAAGATTACATGGACAGGGGGGACCTGATCCTAGATCAGTACTCTTACTCTAAGATGCTTGTTACACATATGGCCCCTGAACTTGTTTTCATAGGCAACTGAAGTGACTTTGTGTCTATGTTTGTCTCACCAGGCTCTTCAGCAGAAGAATGTGGAAGTTGCCAGAGTGTATGCAGAGAATGCCATCCGTAAGAAGAACGAGGGCCTTAATTGGCTGCGCATGGCATCTCGTGTTGATGCTGTGGCCTCCAAGGTCCAGACTGCAGTCACTATGAAGGCGGTGAGTCTATTCCCTCTGCCTAATAATAACAATGTGCTATCATTCAATTGTATCTCACTCTTTAGTCAAAGTCATATTTCTCTTGACCCCCAATCTCTACCATCTTCTCTATTGTCTACTTTCATAAGCATGCACTCTGTTGTGTGGCTCTCTGCTTGTCTGATCCAGTCTGGCTTTTTTCCCTAGGTCACAAAGAATATGGCGCAGGTCACCAAGGCGCTGGACAAGGCACTGGGTTCCATGGACCTGCAGAAGGTGTCTGCTGTCATGGACAAGTTTGAGACACAGGTCCAGAACCTGGATGTTCACACCTCTGTGAGTGGCACAAGTTATAGAAAGTATTCCTCATGTGCATAACAGTTGTACTGCTGATCGATTTCATTTCTTTAATTCATTACTTCACTAGCCTCTTATTCACTTGTCGCCTTCTTTCCTAAGACCTCTATTTCACTAGGCCTCCTCGACCATTATACTCCTAATTCGCTAACCATCGTAGTTCACTTAACCCTCTATCTCACCATGTATTACTGTACCCTTCTGGATGATCATATATGTCGCATTAATGGTGAAACAACATAAACCCACTCACTGTTGCCATCCTGTAGGTGATGGAGGACTCGATGAGCTCGGCCACCACACTGACCACGCCCCAAGACCAGGTGGATGACCTCATCGTCCAGATAGCAGAGGAGAGTGGTCTGGAGGTGATGGACCAGCTCAGCCAGCTGCCTGCAGGAGCCACCTCACTGGGAGAGAGCTCCTCACGCTCACAGCAAGAGAAGGAGGACCAGCTGTCCCGCAGGTACACTAACAATGCAGCTTTTACTGCTGCTTTCACTGGTTACTGTGTGACATTTGGCTTGTTTTCTAAAAGAAGGAAATGTGATGATGACAAGGGTACCTAAGCTATTCTCAAATGATTTGAGACTGTAAAGTAGTGTAGTTTCTGGCTAGATGTGTTGGACCTTTGATAGACCCCCTTTTTAATTATGCAAGTGAAATTCTATGCACTATAGAAAACACTTTTTTTTAAATACAATTAATGACTGTTTATAATCAATTATTTATATGTTTAATAACCCTTTCAAGCAGGGAGTCCCGTTGAGACCAAGGTCTCTTTTTCAAGGGAGCCCTGCATGACAAGATCAGCAGCAATTACCCCAAAAAGTTACCCAGATACTAAAATCAAGGCAGGAGCATAGGAAACACACAACAAAACAACCACATTCCTCAGTGAAGAGGTCCTCTATCAACAATCTGAATGGCCCGAAAGGCGCCAATGCATTCAATTGTAGGGTATTCTGAACGTTTTTCCATAAGTGAGGTGTGAAGAAACTAAAACTGTTTAACTAAATATGTAGTAACCGATGGCATTTCAAGCATTAGTAACAATGTTAGGTAATGCGGGGGTTTTTGCAAAAGGGCTTTATAAATTAACAGAATGGAATGTTTCAACCTACGCGACGTCATAGGAAAATATTTTCATATAAATCAACAATTACACTTTTTTCTTTTAATTGCAGGTTGGCTGCTTTGCGGAACTGAAGATATATCTTGGCTATTTGCAAGACAGATGGAGGCTTGACAGCTGCTTGGAAACAGACAGCGCAGAGTTGTGTGATTCTATCGAACTGTTCTTATTGTGAGGACCTAATGAGCCTATTGATTTCCATCCCCACATCTATTTATATACACACTCACACTGTGTTGCTGAAAATACCACCTGAGAAGGCATGGGTCTCTCTTTGTCTCTGTCTATGTCTGTCTATCTCTCTGTCTGTCTGTCTATCTCTCTCTCTCTGTCCATCTCTCTCGCTCTCTGTCCATCTCTCTCGCTCTCTGTCCATCTCTCTCTCTCTCTGTCCATCTCTCTCGCTCTCTGTCCATCTCTCTCTCTCTCTGTCCATCTCTCTCTCTCTCTCCATCTCTCTCTCTCTCTGTCCATCTCTCTCTGTTGCACAACAATCTATTTTTCCCACCTCTCGTTTTCCCTCTCCCATGTCATTCTTTCTGTCTCTCACTCTTGTCTTCTCTCCTTCAGGGCTCCCTCAAATATACCCCTTGGTTAGTTGTTCTTGTGAATTTCAGTACATTGCCACATGACAAAATCTTTTTTTATGTATATTTGAATGGGAGGGTTTTCCTGAGAATAAAAAAAGGGTTTTACAAAATGTATAAATACTATAGTGGAAAGGGGTGTTTTAAAACAGACATATTCATGTAATATAAGCTTGAACCCCTGGCACTTATTGGGTGTTGGATTTCAAATGTTGGTTCTGTTTGTTTTTATATTTAAAATATTTAGGTTTCTGTTTGCTACCAGTCAGGTGGTGTATGATTTTGAGAAAGAAAGTGGAACATGGATGGAGTATAACACAGGTTTTCTTCAACACAGTGTAATGGGGAGGTGATCCAATTTTTTTTTGTGATCCAATTGACATTTTAGTCATTTAGCAGACGCTCTTATCCGACTTCTTCTACCAAACAGACCATCAATATGAATGCTCTGATGTATTCCAACTTTTACACAGTTTGACAACACTAACAAAGAAAGTCAATACATCACACACACACACAGTACTTCTTCTCCCCAACTCATAGTAGAAATGATCCTTTGACATAATGTAAACATGTACATAACATCATTAGTTATGTATACTGTACAGGGAGGACAGTCCTCAGTCATACATATTTTTTAAGCAAGTCAAATTAACTACTTTTTGTTTCATTCTTTTTCTTCAAATCTATTGCTAATTCATGCCTATGTTATTTGCTTTGAATATGTACGCCTTATTAGGATGCAGGTATTTGCGTAGGTGCTTCTCCTCAGTGCCTGAATGAAACTAGTTTGAGTTATAGTGATTGATCCTATGTAAGTTATATGTCAGCATATAACAAGGATGACCCCTTTCTGTACCCATCAAACCAGAGATTTGGCTGCTGTAGCTACAGTAAGACATTTTGGGAATAATTTTCCTTTTTTGTTTTACAGGGTGAGGTTTATTTATACTCCAATGTATATTATCATGTGGAAATAAAATTCCTCTGATATGAAAACTTGTCACTACTAATGTAATTTCAACACTCAGGAAATGACAGCAGCAGATGGCAGCACAAGCAAACTGATATACGTATTGCTTAGTTGAAGATTGCAGCATTTTTAAATGTAACCACAACATGGGTTTAATCCATAGACTAGGATCAACCTGTCTTATTTAGTGATTGATTATTGTTTTCACACACATACATATTTGACTCTTTGCCAAAGTAAGCTCACATACTTCACACTTGATAATTCTCTGTGATGCTGTGACATTTCCTGGTGGACTGATGGTCCTTATATTAGCCAGATCATATTATATAACACCAGTGGAGGCTGCTGAGGGGAGGATGGCACATAATAATGGCTGGAACGGAGCAAATGGAATGGCATCAAACACATGGAAACCATGTGTTTGATGTTGATACATTTCCACCTATTCCGCTCCAGCCATTACCACATGCCCGTCCTCCCCAAATGAAGGTGCCACCAACCTCCTGTGTATAACACGCTTGCCTACATTCATCTAGTGTAAACAGGTCACTGTGTCATGTTGTAGATAACTGTTGAAGTCTGTTTAGTCTTTCAGTCAGAGACAGACTAATTGTTGGATACTGTACATGCCTTAGTGCCTAGCTTCAAAGAAACCTCTAATTTGGCCAAATTGGAACAACTGTCTACAGTACAGTAGGTGTGGGCAGAATTCTACCGAAGGGCTTTTTCCCTGTGTCTTTTGTGAGTTCTATTATCATACCAGAGCTGGGAAACAAAACACAGGGCTGCCTTGTGGCTCTTAACATCAGTCACTCTGCTAAATGTCAGGAGAGCTTTCCAGATCATTAGGTTGTCGGCTGAAATATTTTCACAGAAGATCTCCCCCTTTTCTTGGAACCTCTGTTTGAGTCATGAGTCAAAGTAGGCCACACTGCACAATAGATAACTGCACTCATCATTAAATTGAAAGTGGCTGCACTCACTATCTATGATAGGTTGAATAGCTGTCTCGCTAAAAATACTGACTGGACTCACTTAACCTTCTACAAAGAAGGAGACACATCATGCCATAAATCCTTTCATCTTATGTGCACTGGCTGTTCTGAGAGAACAGTGGTTCCCTTACATAATACAAATGTTGGTATCAAATTTCAGAATTGTATTTGTTGTGTACGAATGTCCCATCAGCAATACTTGGCATCGACCTGGAACTGGATACCGTGCAGTGTGTGTGTGTTATTGGTCACTGTGCTTTGATAGTGAATTTGATAGTGAAACGTTGTTCCTGCAGTGGCCCAACAAGCTTCTAAAGATAAAACAATAAAGGTTACAAAACCTCAAGATGCCTAGTAAGTTCAATGTAGATTTTCAATGGAACACATTGGATGTTATTCTAGTTCCAGATGTTTGATGTCTGGTGAACTCTAGAACAGACTAGCTTGAACACTTTCCAACCTTCTGCTCGACAAACATTCCAGGTGCTCTCTCTTACATACTGTATAGTAGGGAAAGGAAATTGCCTCATCAAGCCCCCCTGCCCCGCTTAAATGCATTATTTATTGCATAAACGATTTGCATAAAGGAACACAGTTAGTAATACTTTGCTGTGTGTGTGTGTTTTATTTTTCTATGAAAATTCTGGCTTTTTGACCAGCCAATTAAAAAAATATATACAGTACATATACACAAAACTTTGTCAGATAATAGTTATTATAAATCAACATAAATGACAGGTTAATGTATTTAAATATGTTTATTACACTAAATAAATAAATGCTTGTGCTGCCTTTTTGTCACTTGTGTTACCTATATTTTAGATGACAATTCAGGCTTTCCAGAATGTAATTTGACTATTTAAATGTGCATATATAATCAAAGACCGAAAAAGTTCATGATAATATTAAGATTTTTTTTTAATTAGTTATAATTGACCAGGTTTGTGTAAATTCTATTGTGTGACATTTTGCTATTAACACTAGGGATGGTAACACCAGTGACCGGTAACACTATTAACACTACTCAGTCCCTCCAGGATTTCGTGGGGATTTTGTGTGTTATTTGGGGGGACAAATGCTTGATTTTGCTGCGGCTATTCTGACATTATGCATGGCAATATGCAATGATTGTCAATTTATTTGCAAATGTGCTGACGACGGAAAAAGTTAGTTGACATGTGGCTTGATTTAACCATATTTTGCAGTAAATATGCAGTGATTGGTTGAAATTGCGAGCCCTCTTTTTGTACTGAGGTGATTGATCAGTTTTATGCGATAATATTGAGATGATTTTACTGTTCTATGCGGAAAAGGTGCGGTGATTGGTCAAATGTGCAAGCCCTCATAATATGCAGGGACTTGTTGATTTCTCAACAAACAAAAAAAATGCAATCGCAGAATCCTGGAGAGACTAACTACTCTATTAAACCCATGATGTGACCAGTAATGGTAACACATTTCAGTTAATTACTATAGGTCCCGCCTTGGGCCAATCAGTGTAATTTTGTAAATGCCAGATCTCTATGGCAAAACGCATCATTCACCCAAGTTCCGTCATAATCGGGCCAGTGGTGTCAGAGATATCGCTTGGGTTAGCTAGATTCACATCCCTGAGCATGTGTGCCAAATTTCAACACTGAGTCAAAGAGATCAAGAGATAAAAACGTGCCCGTTATCACGCCACCATGTGGTCGATATGAATGTTCTTGCATATGTTGAGTCTTGACAGTGTTTGCAACGTGTACTAAATTCTGTTACAATAAGAATATCC